TTTTTTGGTTTTTCTCCGGTACCGGGAACCGAACTCACGACCTTGCGCTTGCCAGGCAGGCGCTTTTGCCGCTGAGCTAAATCCCCAGCCCTCACTTTCATTTTTGTAGGACACTCCTACTGGGCATAAAATTCTAGATAGAATGTTTGACATTTCTACTATTAACAATGGACAGGTATTATTCCATTGTCTTCTGGACTTCCTGTGTTGATGAGGTGGCTCATCATCCTAATGAGTTGACTCATAATATGACTCATAATATATTTCTTAGCTGGGGGCTTTAAAGATTTTCTCTGGAGTTTGAAAGCGTGCATATAATACAGCAAAGTGTGCTTTCTAGATATTTCACCTGATTAAAGATTATTAAACTTCCTGGATCTGTGGGTTAAAGTTCTTGATCAATTTTGCTATATGCTTGACTGTTACCGTTCAAGTACTTCTCACACTGAATTTCCCATGCTATCCTTCTGAGATCTGCTGCTTGGGCAGCCTCTCCCCACATGGGATGTTTTCCATTTCTTCTCTAATTTCTTCAGTGACCTGCTGGGTTGTTCAAATGTGCCTTTCAATTTCCACACGTTTTTGTAGTTTATTACTTATTTGCCTGTTGATTTTTCAGTTTCATTCCATTGTTGTCTAACGGAATGCATGGGATTATCTCCACTTTCAATATTTATTGAGAATTGCTGTGTGATATAAATTATTATCTATTTTATAGTAGTACTGTTAGCTGCAGGAAAAAAATGTGCAGCCTGCTCTTGTTGGATAAAACATTATGTAGATATCTGTTAATCCACTTCTATGATATATATGTATATATTTTTTTTTTTTTGGTTTTTCTCCAGGACTGGGAACCGAACTCACGACCTTGCGCACGCCAGGCAGGCGCTTTTGCCGCTGAGCTAAATCCCCAGCCCCTTCTATGATATATTTTGACTATGATGTTTCTTGACTTTTGGTGTAGTTCACCTACTTATAGCATCACATTAGTAATTAGTAGTAATAAATAATTAGTAATAAATAGTAGTAATTAGTAATAAATAGTAGTAGTGATGAAGAAGCTTTGGGGAGGAAATTTTTAAACATATATAACACATCTTTTTTTTTTTTTT